ATGCATGGATGATATTCTTTGTTGGCAAATGGCTGTTCTCTAGAAAATTTTCAATCGACCATGGAATTCCTCGGCGATCATCATAGGATATCTTTTTCGTGTAGAGCACCGCATTGCAGAATTTTTGGCTGAAAGTACCATCATAATATTTTTCCAATAGAATAGTAAGGGGAAAGGTCTCCTTGTTTTTCTTCTCTTTCTTTTTATCTTTCTTTCTACGCGTGTTACATAAAACTCAACATAATTTTGGCCGGCACTTCAACGTGATTTAGCACGGATACAGGTTTGTGGCATTTCGTCGCATGACTTGTCTGCAGACGAAAAGGATAGCCGTTTCCTCCGCAATCCGGAAATGACTGATAGATACGTGGTATTTATGAGTCACCGAAGATGGAAAATTTATCTTGCAATTCGCCTGGTTCCGTGGTGTACCATTATATCGGTATCACTAAATATGATCGATCACGTGCTTATGGGCATTTTACGTATACGAGCAAGTTTTAATGTATCATTTTATTTAGTATAATACAATTATAGATGTGATTTATTTATATATCAAGCACAACTACAACGAAAAAGAATAATGATAGATCGTAAATTCGATACTTGCTAGATTTCTATTAGATATGAAAACATCGACTTCAATCTCATCGTTCGTTAAATGGGTTTTAAATGAATTGCGAAATACTACATAAAAGCATCGCTAATAATCAGAACGGTAAAATGATACGGTTCAGTGAACGTAAACGTTTCTGTAGTCGCGTTTTTATCGATCACTTGTGCATCTAAATAAGAAGGCGGACCGTATCAAAAAAATTGAATTTAAGCAGAAAGATATCTGTCGTTGGTTCTTCCATACACATTTCTCGGTGCACGCATGAAAATTTCCGTCGTCGAAGACATATTGACAATCCCGTTCTCACGTAGGGACCATCTGGTGTCATCCGTGTATTTCTCGCTCCCGCGACGACACTAATTGGATGATTCAATACCGCGGAAACGTGATCGGAAACGCGATCATACAGGCGCCACGATTCGTTACATGCAATTTTTCTACGTGGATACCCCTCGTCCCGCTACTCCGACAGATAAAAGAGGAAAGAGATAGAAAGATCGATCGGACACGTGCGGTGGCGCGTATCACCGGCGTTCTGCTAATGACGACAAAGTGCGTCCAGGGATCATTCGATTCTTTTTCAACGTAGTTATCGTTACTATGCTCTGATTTCTTTTCGAATATAGAACGCGGCCTCATACGGCGATATATATTAATTAATGGTTATCCTTAATTAATGGCCTGAAAAGCTTTCTTAATTGCCAAAGAATGTCGTGCCAAGCGAAACGTCGCGTGCCAGTCGGAAAAATTGCTAATCGGTCATCGATCGAAGAGCCGGACAGGTGGTGGTCGTGTTGGAAGACCGACGGTCGCCGATCTAAGGATCTTAATCGAGAAAACGTGTCTAGCCATCGTAGCACGAATTACGAGACGATTTCTTGGCGGCTTGCGTTTGCGAACTTTATGTTTACAACGTCCTTCACCTTTCATATTCATATTTCAATTATTCATTCTCCTACTATTTCTATAATTAATTTCCTATAATTAATTCTACGCAAGCGTTGCCTCCCGCCCCGTGGTGACCGGATTGAAATATTTAATCGAGACTCAAGTCCAATATATCGATGATACTCACTTTTAATCGAGTTATACGTTATGACAGATATTTCTTGCAGCCTCGCATATGCAATTGTGCACGATAGGGCCTTTAAGCTCGCCCGACTTTCGCTTATGAACAAGAGATAAGCGGTTGACGATCGGCAACCAATATCGACCCATATGCTGCCACAGATACATAATTCTAGCCAGAAGTCACTGTAGCGATATCAATAATTTTCTGCGAATATCTTTGAAATTATGGCTACAGGAAGAAGTCGTTGAAAATGTTGAATTTTACAACATATTCCAAGATCTTCAAAATCGAACAGAAAGTAGCTCTTTTCCACAGTTTCGCCAAGCTATTATACAAACCGAGCTCGAGGGTCGATTTTGTTAAACCTCCCTTAAAGTTCGCTCTAGCTGACTAGTCGGAAAGGCGAGCGATCCGAAGAGTGCTTCGGTACTGGCGCTCAAATTTTTTCTATAAAATCGTCCGTGATAACGCGAACAACGAGGCAGCGAGCCTAACTGTCCCAGGCAGAGCCAACCTGCCATAACGAGATTAAATCGTGTAAATCGCGTCGCAATAAATTCTAGTTGCAAATACTGAGTATTTAACGTATAAGTTACCTTTTATAGCCAGTAAGGGATAAACGTGACGAAATATTCGAATATCTAGTAACTAAGATCAAGCATTACACGGACAGTGGCAAATTGGCTCGTTCAAAATTTATAGCTTGTTTTACATCTTGATTTCGTTGTTAAAGATTAAACTTGCATGTTAAATTTAGTTGGTGGTATTGTAATATTTGTTTACAAGGACAATTCTACATTTACGTTGCAAGCTATTAATCGCAAACATTTTTCTGTTTCAGGTAAGTTATTTGGCGGACGTGCTATTACACGGCATCGGATAAAAACTAAAAGGTAGTTATTTTCAATATTCTTTAGCCGAAGAAAGGCAAAGAACGAAGCAGATGTCGCGAGGTGGCTTCATGCCAATTTCGGGCGGTGCTTGCAATCAAATTACACGGAAGCACTTTATCTTAATGACCACGTTCGTACACTGCACGGGACCCTATATTTGTAGTAATTTTGCATCAGTGACGACGTGTTTACTTTAACATATCTAATAAAGAACGTGTACTTTGGTTGCAATATCGTATCGCTTAAGCGTGTTTATTAGGATTCCATGCGTTGACACGTCGTTTGTTTTATCGTAACCATTTTCAACGCGACTTTTAATAAATAACATCGGGATTGGCTCCCAAATTGCATTGAAATCACTTGTGGAATTTGAAATTAGAGATGTAAAACGTATTTCCTGCGCGTAATACGACTGTTTGCAAAGCAAAGGAAATTTTTCCGTGTACACGTTGATTTATATCGAACGCGATCGAGAATGCCTAGACATTCTGGAAAAATATGGTTGGCGAACCGAAAGAAAAAGAAAATGATAGAAACAGAGAAAAGAGACAAAGAAAGGACACGTATTACCTAGGCGAATGTGTGCATGTAAGCCATAAACTCCTTTGCTTTATCCGAATGTGGCCGAAGGTACAACACGGTGGTGTTCTGTGATCGTTAATTTCACTCGGGCAGAAATACCGAGGTCGTTTCTGCAAAAACCGTAGGCGATCTGGCTTCCAGTGAGCGTTCCTGAAGCTTTCCGCTAGGGTCGTACGAGGGAGAAAGAGAGGTCTATGAGGGAGAGAAGCCTACGTGCTAGCGGGGAAAAGTAAGAGAAAGGGTAGGCAGGTTTGGGATCCGGACGGCTCTGCTAACTTATTTTACGCTGATCTCGCCTCTCCATTCGATTCGCTAGGTTACCATTGCCGCAGGAAAAGCTTTTTTTCTATCTCTCAGGCACAGACGACGAAACTTTTCGTGCACGCCGACTTTGTTTCAGGAGAAAATGTTACCTTGAAATCCGCAGTTACGCATCGCGTGGAATACGAAGAGCAGCAGGATTTCGCAATTACGCTATACTTCAATGGACGTGGTAGTTTTTAATTCTGAAACGGACGGCGCGAAGTCGTCGTCGCCGATCATGTGGGATTTTTATCGGAAAAACGTGCGCGATTACATAGTCTCGCGTCGAGTAACGAAACGTTAGTTAAATTCCTTGAGTTCGTCTGCCAATTTTATGATTCGTAGTAACGAAAGTTGAGAAAGACAAAACGGCAAAAAAGATAAAAGATAAAAATTTCCACGAGATCGCGCTAATATTTCAAAAGTTCCGTTTCGATTAGCGTTTCCGTTTCCACAAGTCATTAAACGTTTTCCACCGTTGCGTTCTTTGATACGTTCGTGGTACTACCCTGTTTGAATAACAACGCATTCGCACCAGTTTCGTGCTAACTTCGCTAATTGTATACGTAATTTTCTTGTTCCACGAAACGGTACAATTACGACGATTAATTGTTTTAATGTTGCACTGCCGAAATTTCGAATGCTCTTTTTTCAACGACGCGCGTTACGAATACGGCATTTGCTCATAAGTATGCGAAAACTTGGTATTTTTTCGCTCTCTTCGGAAACGAGATCGGAGAACGCGTTTCAACGATAAAACTCTTATAAAAATTCAATCAACACGGAAATTTCTTCCGACCTTTTTGTTCAAAAATTAAAATCCATTTCCTCTTGGTTTTTAGGACAAGTGAATTTGGTTTTTTGAAAGGTAATTTATTCGTTTCGCTGTGCCGGTATCTACTTTAAATATGTTAGTAGACACAAGCGGAGTGTTGAAGGAACCTGTCTACATTCACGAGGTACGGATGCATAGTGTGTTGGGTTCGGAACGATAACGGGAAAGGAATCGTCGTCTCTGGCTCGGGTAACCACCTCGGTGTCGGAATGTTTCTATTTCAAATGGAGAAACAATTTTAATTTACCAACCGTTCTGCACCGTCTCCCGGTTTCTCCTCCTCGCTCCAACTTTTTCTGCTCTCTCTGTTCCATTCGGCGAAGCACTCTCTCTCCCAACCCCTTCACCTCGTCCAATCGTACCGCGGATGAATACCCATTCGTTGTAACGGCTTTGTTTCATTTAACAGACCGGTCGACGGCCGTTCTCCCCTCAAGTCCCACCATTCGTACCGGCAGTTCGTTTAAATCCTGGCTTTATTACTGATTACTGGAAAAATTGATGTCCACCCGCTAATGAACCCAATCTACGCTGGTTTCCCTGCAATGCAATATCATTCCTATTCGAGTCGGCGAAAAAGCAACGATAACTCGCCTTGTACGCGTACAAATCGAATATGTCAACGAGTACGAGCATATCAGATAAAAGAAAGAAGAAATTGAAAGAAGAAAAAAAGATTGAAAGAAAATGAAAATAAAGAAAGAATGCC